CATTTACCTTGGGCTTGACATTAGCCGAAGATTGCTAACCTAAAACAACTGTCAGAGGAGATGCTGTTTGCTTGGAACAGATTTTCCTTGTTCTCGTCTCGCTCCAGAGTTGTTATGTCTACAGATAAAGTTTCCAGTGTTTATGTTGGAGAAATGAATAAAACGCTTACTGACATCAACAAAATAAGTTACTGAAGAGAAGCTCTTTCAAGCAGAGAAACAGACGTAGCCTGTTGTTGGTATAGGGTCACCGTGTATCATCCAATTTAATTTCCGACTCTGGTGTTTTTTTAAATAGTGCAAACATTCTACATTAAAAAAAATGATTTTTGCTTGACATTTTATCCATTTGACCATTTTATGCTGGGTTACAATAGAAGTAATTTTAACCCACTTTGTATCGTTATGTTGATAGTATTAAGGCGGGCGTACACGGTGCGATTTTTGCTGTCGTACGAGCTCGCAGGCGATTTTTTTCTCTCGGGTGAAAATCGCCGATGCTCGCATGGTCGCGGCTCGTACCGTGTGAGAAGAATTACGGGCCGATCCGAGACGTTACGAGCACCTCCCGTCCTCCCGATAATTTTCAAACATGTCAAAAAAAATCGGATGCTGTATGTGCGGTTGAACGAGACGATTTGGCCATCCATCTGAAGCTGACCAATCAGAAGATGACAAAAACCATATAGTCTATAATAATTTTAGTTTAATTATACAGTTCTATTTTTTATTTGTTATTCCGAATGTGCCAAATTTGCCGTTCAGCTTTATGAATGAATATGCCTGTTGTATTTCCGGCAAAACGAGCAGAAATTCAGAAATGGCCTACTCCCTCGAGTTCTTTATGAAGAACAGAAAGTCCATGCTTTTCTCTGCTTTTCAGCCATTCTCTTTGCCATGTCCTTTGTCTTCGTTTTTTGTTTTTTTTTTGGATGTCACAAGCCATAGCTGCCACAAAGAAAACTATTTCGTCCTCAGAATCCATATTTTTATGAATGGCGCGAAACGTAATGCGTAAACCGTAGTAAATTCGTGTCGTGTGTGACTGCCTCCGTACGATTTTCGGATAAACTCAATCGTGACATGTGCCAGAGCTCACGAAGTTCCGACCTTCAGAATCGCACCGTGTACGCCCGCCTTAAGAAGTTCGTAAAAACTATCGTACGACTGATCTTAATATTACGGTCTGTTTCCCAAAAGCATCGTAACTTAAGTA